CCCCAAAACCCCAAAACCCCAAGCTTTGTAATTTGTAAGAAATAGTAAGGGAGTTTTATAATGTATTAAATAAAAATATTAATGAAATATTTTGTAAGATCAAGTTTTAATGCTCAATATAGCAAAATTATCTTTTGTCTAATACTGCTTAGGTATAAAAATAAATCATTTAACACTTATTAAATATCTATATAGTGCATTGCCAGAGCAAAATAAATGTGCTTAATGTTTTTCTAATGGATACCCCAAAACACTCTATTCTACTACTTATGAATATAAATTTGAAGATGGAAATATAATGAGTGATTTTAGATTAGCACTTTGCGGTTCCGCTAGAAACAAATTGACAAATGAATATCTACCTGCTATGATATAAATGAGTTCATACACGGGAAATATTGATTATTTTTCTTATTTAAGGAATGTGGATTTAACATTGACAAGATCAACAAGCATTACTTATTGCCGATTTTGGGCACCAAACCCATATTTTCTTCAATCAATAAATGGATCTACTTATGTGGGAATTACCAATAATGAATAATTTATCATTGTGTATACTTGGAGTTTGGCTTCTCATAAAGTATATCGAAAAGATAATCAAGACCACACTCTAATTTCAAACTTTATTGATAAATTCGATGACTACCAAATCATAGTGGGGTATCAAAGAGCAGCCAATGATTAAGGGTTTTTAATTTTAGATATAGTCAATGAGACCCAGAGATATATGTAGTTGAAACTGGAATAAAATGTAGTAAATTATATTAGTTTTGCTGTTTTAAGAACCTTTGAAATGTACGTCATAGCAAAAGTACAGATTTCTGGAGTTCAATAAACTGCATTCATTGCACTAGATGCTAAGAAGTTTGAAATAATGTACTCATTCATATCTCCAAATAACTCTCTATTAAACACAACTTTTATTAGATCTATTAGACCAGGTGATAGAAGTTTCTTTATTTGTTGAGATTTATACCAATCTACTATGAAAACAGTAGAGATTCAAA